ATGTAATAAAACCTCATCCTATATGGCAGTGAATGTTATACAATCTCCTCACAGATGAAGAACAGATTTAAAGCAACATAAATGTGGTTCTACAGAAGGATGCTGAGAATACCATAGTCTGAACATGTAAGCAATGACAATTTTAAAGAAAATGGAAATTAAAAGAACATATACTTAGCATCAGAAAGAGATAGATTAAATTTTTAGAGCACATAATGAGGAAAGAGGGCTTGGAAAATTTGATACTCATAGGATATATTGAAAGTAAGAGAGATAGAGGAAAACAGTACCTAACCTACCTAAGGGGCTTATTTAAATGGATGGCAGATCAGGGTTTAGGAGAGATAGCAAAAAAGATAAAATTTGCAAAGAGCTATAAAGGACAGGAAATTGTGGAGATCCATAATTGTCAATGTCCTGAATGAACACAACACATAAAAGATGAATTCTTTTTAATTTTATATGCTTTTTATGACACCATTATTCATTTGCAATTAGTAAGCAATATATTGAAAATAAAGAAAAAATCTCTGATAATATGAACCTGCATCACTTTTCTTGACTTAATGTAATAGCTGATAAATAATATTAATCTTTTTTATGTACATAGTTCTCCATGACTTCCTTGTAAGCTCTTAGCAATTCTTTTTTTCTTATTACACAAGCCACTCTGTTCTGCCATCCATTTTAACAAACTCATTAGTTAGGCTACTTGTTGTTTCTTATCTTCATCTTTGTCGCCATGTTTATTACAATGTTTCAGCCGTTGTACGCTCCTGCCTTCTTCAGGTGGTTGGAATGTCAAACTGAACCCTTTATTTCACTCGGTGGGGTAAACTGTTCTAGTTCCATGTGCCATGTTTAATGGATGTCAGTTATCAGTTATCTTCTGTTAATTCCCCTCTGAAAGTTCTACACTGCCTTAACTGGGTATTGAACTCGCACTCTTTGGGTCCTGTCACTGGATCTAACCAATAACTTTATCCACTGTGCCATGTGTCCTTGAGGACACATACCCTGTTAAAGCAGTGGAGAACTTTCAGAGGGAAATTAGCAGGAGATAACTGATAACTGACATCCATTAAACAGCACGTGAAACTAGAACAGTCTACCCCAGTGAGCGAAATAAAAGGTTCAACATTCCAACCACCTGAAGAAGGCTGGAGCGTACAACCGCTGAAACATTGTAATAAATATGATGACAAAGATGAGGACAATAGTCCAAATAATGTAAATAGTGTACATAATACCTCATCTCAGAAATATAGACAGAGGTTGTTGCTTTTTTCTGTCCCTTTTGCTTTCAATATGTTCTGTCAGTATCAAATTTTCTAAGCCTTCTTTCCTCATGTGTTCCAGAAATTTCAACTCTTTCTGATTCTTAGTATCAGTATCCTTTTTATTTCCATTTTCATTAAATGTTATTTGTTGCTCACATGCTTAATTGATGACATTCTCAGCATCCTTGTGAAGAATCATGTCTTGTCTTTTTCATCTGTAAGGAAATTATCCAGCATTCACTGCCAAGTAGGAAGATTGATATTACATATTTTTCTTTTTTCATAAAAAACCCCCAAAAAACTCTTGTTTCTTCATACTTTGCTTAGATTTGTGAAGGCATCTTTCATTATTCCAATGTATCTTCAGGTTTCTGTGTATTTAGGAAAGATAAAGACTGGCTATAAATGATTGTCAACATTAAATCTTCATCTCCACATCAGTAATGTAACTGCCTTTGATAGACAGGCTTCCTCAGGAAAATGAATGAAAAGTTAAATCACACTAGAGGCTCCTTCTTTATTTCTTATCTGTGCTAAATACTAACAACCAGAGAATCAGTCTGAGATTTGCAATAAAAAGGAATTGAAATTAAGATGAAAGAAAAACTAGTAAAAAAAAAAAAAATTGATATTTCACTTAAGTATTTAAAAAAATATTCTATCAGTTTAAGGAGAAATTTTATCATCTATATGATAAATGTGAATGTCACTGTGTCCCACTTTTTCATTTTTTACTTCTAAAGGCCATAGCTCAACATATACCATTTTGGAATCAGGATCATTCTGTGAGCAAATTAAAATATTCTGAGCTGGATCCAGACTCACAATCCAGAAATTTTGGATTTGCAAGTTTTTATTAATTTGATTGTTTTCATCAATTTTTTTTTTTTTTTTTTTTTTTTGTGACAAATATTTTGTACAATAACAATTTTTATAACTTGGAAATATATTTGAGAATAATCAAAAATAATTGCAAAATCCAGCAAAAGCCACCCATGGAATAAAAATAATTGTTTGTACGGAAAGTAAGGACCTATGTACATCAAATTAAGTGGTGGCAGAGGAACTATTGTTGAACTTTTTAAAAGGTTAGCTTAAATATTAATGCAATACTTAAATGCAGCAATCAATTTTGAATTCTTTAGTTTATTGTTGCTTATTTCATCTACTCCTCCCTATCTATTGTGAGGCAGGCCTAATTAAGAACCCTCCGCAAGAGCAAGCTTAAATGCTGCCTGATATTTCACAAAAGGATGTTGAGTACTGATTCAAAAACATTTATTAATTCTCCATGTATAATATACCTTCATCCATAATATGCAATTCTAAAATTGTATTGAAAGTGTTGAGAAAATGCTTCTACTCATGCATAATACACACCCCTTGTTTGGTAATTAAACCCTATAAATTGTACCTCTCCAATTTCATTATGGTCAACATATCCTACTCCTATTCAAGCTGTAATTGAAAATATTTCTCAATTTCTGCTCATCACGATTTTAAAAGGAAACTGAAATACCTATTTTGTGCCTACTGCACAGACTCATTAACCTGTTCTTGTTCAATAAAATGTGCAATCTATTAGATCTGTGTGCATTTTTTTCATGGTTTTAAACATAGAATAATATTATTCTAATTTAGTTTTATGATAATTCTTATTTTATTTTATAATTGTAAGTATTGTTAGGTACACATAATTCTATTTGACATCCTTATGGGGTTGCATTTGCCAAATGTTAGTGTCAAATTGTCACATGTTTGTGGTGAAATTGACTTAAGAAACAGCAATTTTTTAAAGATTTTTTTTTGTAGCTGTGCATAATACACACCCCTAATTTTGATTATTTTTTTTAGAAAAAAAACGTGTATTATATATGGGGAATAACCTTTATAATGTCATTGATGCTTGCATTAATTCTTAACTACTGACAGTTTCATTGTCTAGATTGTTATGCACAACATCCAGGTTGTTCAAATTTGATAAAACAATTTCGGGTCAAAAAAAATTAGAAAATTTTCTGTTTGGATATCAATTGTTTTCATAAAAACACCGCTAGAAATAAAAAGTGTTGAACTGCCCTGTTGTCTAATCTCCTATTTGGCAGTGGATGCTGGACCACCTCACAAATGAGGAAGCAACTTGAAGTGACAAATGCTGAGAATACCATGGAGCGACCATGTGAATAACAAGGAAGTTTTAAGGAAAATACTAACTACAAAGAAAATGATATTTAGAATCAAAGACAGCTGAAATTTCTGGGACACTTAATGAGGAAAGAGGGCTTAGAGATTTTAATTCTCACAGGATATATTGAAGGCAATCATTAGTAAACATATGTTGATGATACCATAGTTTACAGAAGCACTTTTAAGATGTTCAAAGCCTTAAACAGCTGATCTTTCCATTGATCTTGCTCTAACAGCTCAATAAGGAAAAACTGGCTTGTAACTTTCAGTACGTCTAAAACCAAGCTAGTATCATTTCATCATTACCAGTCAGACCCTGAGCTGCCTTCCATCATAATCAATGGTTGCACTCTCAATGAAGCTCCATGTCTATTGGGCCAAAGTTCACCCCCAGGCTCCAAGTAAAATTCACATATGTTCCATCACTAAATATGCTGAAAAAATTATTGGTTCCTTGTACTGTTCCAAAAAGTACCATTTTGGGACAAAGAACATTAATAAGTTAAAACTTAATATATATGAATTGTGATCTGATGTACTATACCACTTAGCTACAGAGAAGCATCTTGTTAGCAAAGTCAAAATTACTGTTTTTAAACACAATTTTTGACAATTTTTCTCAATTGATCACATCTGCTTATGTATCTTAACATAAACAATGACAACATATAATGAAATGGATTGAGTCTGACAATAATTTAATATGTTCTCTGTTTATACGTTATTTTTATAGATACAATTTATTTAAGTAAATGCTCTGTTTTTAATTAAACAGTTTGATTTTTATAGGAATAAATTCCTCTCAGAGAATGCATATTTTCTACAAAATTTCTCAAACATTCAGGTTGTAAATGTAATTTTTAATTAAAAAACAGCATTTAATTAAATAGACTGTATCTATAAAATAACATATAAACAGAAAATATTTTAAATAATTGTCAGAGTTAATTTCATTATACACACACACACACATACATATATATATATATATATATATATATATATATATATATATATATATATATGTGTGTGTGTGAGAGAGTACTGGTGGTAATAGTGAAATAGTACTCGATTTAAAAATAAGAGCTAAAATTTGTACTAAGAATAATTATAAATTTTGTTCCTCACTATTCAATGCAACTATGACTTTTTCAAACTGACCATTTTAATATACCAATATTTATAACCTGCTGATAACATAGTGGAACAGTCTATTTGCTTATGAGAAAAATAAGTAAATTGGTAAAAAATGAATTTACTACAAATGAGTGAAACTAGTGATTAAAAAGAAAAAATGTGATTTAAGAAATGTGTGTGTGTGTGTTCTTTCTGGTAATATACAATTTAAATCATAAAGAGGAAATTGTGAAGAGCCATAATTACTTACATTCTGAAGGGACATAGAAACAATCAAGTAAACAAAGCTAACCAAATTCCTAATAAGTCTTATGACAGCTGCAGAATTAGAGAAGTATTTTTGAAAATGTTTATAAACTCCTCATTTGATAGAAACTTACAAAGAATTTCAATTTAATGGCGTTTGTTTTTCTGACTTTTTCAGAGGTCGATCTGACCAGCCAATTATTGACCTCAAGACATAAAAGTGATGTTAACCGTAGACATTTACCTCGCAGTACATCACTAGATGTCTTGCCAAAAACTAATCTGATAAAGACGCAGTCTTTGGAAACTCTCAGTCGAGATCCTTTACAACGGCACTCGGTGTGGGATTTGCCAATTCGGGATCCAAACAAGGTGCTTGAAGTAAATGTTTCAAAATTACAAAAGAAAGATGTACAAAATGGTTCATCAACAATTCTCCAAACAAAAGGTAAGGCAACTTTTGTCTTTTTATGAATTTATTTAATTTTTTTTTTAGCCAGAATGTTTTAATTATTCACAATATTTTTTTTTTTTTTTTTGTTGCTGAAGATTTGTGAGATTTGGATTTATTTGAAATTCATAAAAAAGGGACTAAATTCTTGATAGGCTAATTTTTGAATTATAAATGAAGGGTTATTTTGGTTAAAGGATAAAACAATGGAAAATTATGTATTAGTAGGTTTCTTTATGTAATTCTAAATTATGACTCTTCAATTGTGGATGATTAGACGTTTTGCAATGGCAGTTCTATGGCTCAACTTCAAAATTAATATTTCTGTTATAGTTAATGTATCTTTGCTCACATGTGTCTAATATATCATGAAAAGTCAAATCGTGATTGAGTACAACCACTTTTTACATAAGTTTATTTTTCTGCAACTGTTCTTTGATAGTGCCTTAAGTGACTTTTGAACTCTGCAAGAGATTTACATTTCAATGTATACCAACCAAATTCCCAATGTGTGCAGTGAGGTAATCAAATGACAAAATAAAATTATAAAAGAAAAAATACAAAAATAGTGAAGTAATGTGATTCATCCCTAGAAATATCTTCTTCAAGCTAATACTAGTTTAAATTAATGGAGTTAGTATTTTACTCATATATATAAATATACACACACTTTTTTTTTTTTTTTTTTTAATTATTTACCCATTAACAGCTTGTTTGATTTTGAGTGACTTTAAAAATTAGTGTTTATTTTGGATGCTCCCAAGATTTACACTTCTTTCCCACATTTTTCAAAAGTGAGCGTGAATTTGGGAGTGTCCAAAATAAACAAATACCCATTCTGAAAATCACTCATTGCAAAAAAAAGGCTGTTAATTGATGAATAATAAAAAAAGTTATTTTTATCTGTGTTCAAAAGCACTTTTAAAAGTATTTAAAATAAAGCACTCTTCTAGAAGAAAGAAAACAAATATATATAATAAAGAAAATACAATAAACACCAGTTATAATTTTATTTTAAAAAATACAGTGACAACTTTAAATTTTTGCTGTCCATTGTAATTTTTAATCTTGTTTATGAATGTCTTAGAGCAAGGGTTGGCAACCTATGTCAAACGTGCCACACATGGCACGCAGCTGCAAATGACATTACAAACCAATAACTATTACAGTGCAAAGAAGATATTTAACTGTTTCAATTTTAATATATACTAAAGTATATATACTATATAAAATATATTGTAGAACAGGTATATTGACCTTGATTTGTATAAAAAATATGTATACTGTTGGCACACTGAATGATTTTAAAACACTAAGTCAGCACGTACTTAGCTAAAGTTTGCCGACCCCTGTCTTAGATGAACCATTCTTCATTAATTTTTTATCGTTTTTTTTTTCCTGTTTTTCTTTGTTGATAGCAAAGTTTGGAAATAAAGCATAAACTTTGAACAAAATTATTTTCACAGACCCTGCGTCATTTTTGCTCAACAATAATTGTTCTTGTGTCTATTTTTTTTTTTTTTTTTTTTTTTTTTTTTCCTGCAGATATTTACCGGGAGGCATTTGAAAATACCCGTGAAGCAGAAGAGCAGAAATTCCGGGTCAAATTTGACTCTCTGCTGGATGATCTTAGACAAGCATTGGACAGTCAAACATCCAGTGGAATTTCCAGTATCCATGATAGTACATCTTGTAAGTGACATGCAGCTTTTTAATTTTTAAAGCCTTTATTTTACATTAATCTATAAAGCATTTGTTTAACATTTCTTATTTTAGTGTTTAGTTCTAGCATGCATAAATTGTTAATTTGTAATGTCTTCTTAAAGTTCAGCAAAAATTATTATTCAAACATGAGAACTGACTGAGGAAAAAGTTTTAAAAGCAACAAACATCTGCGAAAATAAAATGTGAATAAATTTCAGACAGAGAATATAATTTAAAATTATTAAATCATACATTTTTCCTGATTTAATTAGCTAATATATTAAATATACAAGTTTATCAAGTGTTTTTTTGTTTTTGTTTTTTTGTCTATGTATATAAATTTGTAAATTAGTTAACCCATTATACAAAAAGGCCAAAAAATCTTTTGTAAGATTTATATATAAATTTTCACTTTCCTGATGGTAAAGGTCATTGAAAAATGTCAATAGGTCAGATGAATATTTATAAAAATGATACTGTAATGTGAGATGACTTTTTAGTAATTAATACATTCAATTGCTTTTGTTATCTCTTTCTCTCTCTATTTCTTTTCTTTAAATATTCTTATTTGCAGATGGGGAAATCATGGTCAGTTATCGGAAACGTATTCGAGAATTACTCTCTGTTTTATCACAGCGACTACAGCTAGCTGTTGAAAGTGAGTTCATTTTGTATATTAAACTAAGTATTTTTGCAATTTCTCTTTGTCAGTTCAAGGTTCAAATCTAAATCCAATAAACCTTGTTTCAAACAAACACTCAACAAGAGGAAAAGCTTTCAGATACATACTAAAAGGTCAGGGGTATATTTGTATAGTTAAGAAGGTAAAAAAAAATGCAAACCATGAAGACCTCATTTGAACTTTGTTAAATAAATGCTTATCAGCTAAATGTGTTTTCATGCTTTAGCAGGCTTTCCTCACTCCATTTTTTTCTCTTCTTTTTCAATTTTTTCTTTATTTTTTTCCTTCTCCTTTTTTTTTTCCTTCTCCTTTTTTTTTTCCTTCTCCTTTTTTTTTTCCTTCTCCTTTTTTTTTTCCTTCTCCTTTTTTTTTTTCCTTCTCCTTTTTTTTTCCTTCTCCTTTTTTTTTTCCTTTTTTTTCCTTTTTTTTTTTTCCTTTTTTTTTTTTTTTTTTTTTTTTTCTCCTTTTTTTTTTTTTTTTTTTTCCTTCTTTTTTTTTCCTTCTTTTTTTTTTTCCTTCTCTTTTTTTTTTCCTTCTTTTTTTTTTTTCCTTCTCTTATAATTGTAATTTTGACAATCCATCACATTCTGTGTTGAGTTGATCATGCAAAAGAAGTGGTAATTATTTTTTATTTTTTCAGTTATTTTAACTATTAACAATTCCTAACTTTTTAAGTAATATTTTATATAAAAAACTTTTTTTTTTTTTTTTTTTTTTTTTTTTTTCACCAAAAAAAATATATGCGTATGTAATATTGATAGTTAATACTGGTATAGTAATCATTATTTTAGATAAAAGCCTTAGTAATTCCTGCTTTAAAAATTAATATTTGTGCTGTATATAGTTATTTGTTTTTATTGAATTTTTATTGAATTTTTATTTATCACTAAAAATTATTGTATTAATAATTTTACATATTTAATTTTATAAACAGTGTATAAATTTTACTATTAGTGTACATTTCAAAAATGAGATTGTCTATTATTATACAATGGCTAGTCCTCATATTTCCAATCATTTCAGTTTATTTCATAAACCATATAAAATGGTAACAGTCATCAGGACCAATATTTCTACTATTGCTTTTAGTGTTTGAAGCAGCCTCGTTGCTAGACAGGCTATATATTGACCAGCTGCTATTTGTAAATTGCATCCAGTCTCACCTAGACAACTACTTACATGCACTTGGCTTTGGCTAGTGTACTTGGGCCAATTGTCTTTCTGCACAACAGACATGAATATTTTAGTAACTAATGAAATTAGCCAAAATAATTGATCTTTCTTGTTCTGTGCTTTCATGATTGATTGGCAAACTTCATGATGTAATTTGGCAATTGGCTACTATTGCAGATAATGTCTGAACTGCCTAAATTAATCCTACATTGCTTTTACCCATTGGGTTTATATATATATATATATATATATATATATATATATATATATATATATATATATATATCTCCTTGTCGTTATTATTCTCTTAGATTTATTCTGAACCTGTGAGCCTCTGATTATTTTTAATGATTATTCCTTAATGCGATGCCATCAGTGATTGATACCAAATGAAATAAATCACAAGAGAAAACTAAAGACAAGATTAAGGTTGAGGAAATTTGTGCTTCAATTCAGGTCTTTTCATCAAAACTTACTGGCTATAAAGATGTTTAGAGAAAACATTGATCATTTGAAGGTTGAACATTAGGGTCAATTCTGATTTAGAGAGTTTATCTTATAAAACACCCAATATTTCACAAACCGTATTTTATCCTGTGAGGACTAAATAATGAATCCTATATATTCCTATTCTGTAAGTGAACAACTATTCCTGAACACCGACAATCCCTTTCTTGATTTTTCAATGGATTCTATAGTAAATAAATGAGCATTTACATTATGCATGTAATTGTCCATTTTTTACTTTTTTTGTCAGTAGCATTTGTATTAATTTCTGACAGCTGACAATCCCTTTTTCTTGAATTGTCAATGGTCAACTAAAGTGTCATAATTTGGCAAAACCAATTTTAGGTCAAAATTTGCAAAATTCAGTGGTTCATCAAATTTTTTGTTAATACAGAAATAACTAAACTGAAACAAGAAAAATATAGAGTAGCAGTAAAGTCAGTGGGCAGTGATAAAAACTGGAACTTTGCCTACATCTTTTATGTAGCAAATTCTTTCAGACTGTGGGTAATCATTGATCTTCACAAGTTCGTCTTTTGTTGCACTAATTTTTTACATTTTACTCTCCCTCCTTTTGTAAAGGAGAATTTGGTCAAACCAACAAGAGACCTAGAGTTTAATGCATGTGGTGTA